AGTAAATTTTTTTCATAATTTTATAGTACAGTTAATTTTTTTATATTCTGATCTAATCCTGGGATGTTCTTTCATCCTAAAGGATTTTAAGTTTTTTTCATTATTTTAAAATGAGAAACTTAAACTTGCTACTGTGAAATAACTTTTTTAATATTCAGTTTTATGCTTAAAATGACTACATGTAAATGTCATCCAGACTTTTAAAATGACCTTTTTGAATTCTTCCTAGGTGCTATTCAAGAGAACCTTTTTTCAGATGTGGGTGATAAAAAAATTGAACTATTTCTGTATCTATTCAAAAATGTGTACCACTTGAAATTATATTAAAGAATTTTAATAGTGTTTCCTTTTATTCATTGGTCCATACATTTGTGATCCTGAAATTTTGGGGGCTGATCAGCCTCAAATGGACAAAATTATCTGAAATGTGTGAAAACAAGGATATAGGGATTCCTGCCAGGAGCTATGTATGTTATTTGTCCTCACCCAGCTATCTCAGCTTCCTGTATTCATCTTAGGCTGTTCTTTTCTATGCTCCTGTATCCTACACTGTATCCTACACCTGTATCCTACACCTGTATCCTACACTTCTCCCACAGCTCCTTGGGTCCATAGTCCATGATGGGCAGCAGGATGGTCTGTCTCTAGTTATTGAAATGGTCATGTGGTGGAATACCTCCTTGGCAGGGTGCTGCCGAACACTGCCCATAATGCTCACCAATTGCTGATATCACGTGCTGGTTGGGACTCATCTTCTATTCCTCTTACTTCCCTCCCATTCCTTCAAATTGCTTTGAGTTGCAAATTCTTTCAACTTGCTCTGGGTGCCCCTGAAGGAATGTCTGAACTGGAGGCTACTAGTTCAGGGTTTTTGGCTGTTTCAGGCTTCACCCAGTTACTCTGAGGGCTGGGAGGATTAATGTCTAGTAGCACACCTGGCAAGCTCTTCTCTAGGGTCATCGATTTGACCTAGGTTAAGAAACCATGAAATGTAGAGTTTTCTGACTCTATAAAAGAATTTAGAAAATGGGAAAGGTTAGGTATCAACTACTGTCAATACTATTTTGACATAACAATGAAAAGAAACTGTACTCTAGGATACCCATTATTTTTTTTTGATTTACAGCATGTGTACCCATATACACACACATATGTAAACATACACGTGTATTTATGGATGTATACACACACCCCCATTTATGTTCTTTGAATCAAAAGAAGTAGCATCCTAGATATTTGGTTTAGTTTCTTTTTATTGTTATGCATTGAAATAGTTATTGCATACTATTGAATAGTTATTATCTTTCTTACCAGAAGTATTGGTTTGGTACCTATGGATATGTTTTAGAACCATGGTTTGCAAGAAATCAATTTAGTGGGCCTTGATAAATAGTCTTAACTAAGAATTAAATAGAATAGAATGGAATAGAGAATAAAAATATATTACATATGGTAAGGGTAAACATTGTTTCTTGAAAATTGTTTTTGTGTGTATATGTGGTTCCCTAAACTTGTGTACTGAATTGCAATGGAAAATGTATTTTTTACAATGAATTTGAGGTAAAAAAAAAAAAAGCGAGAAATGGAGTCTTTATAAGTAAAAAGGCTATTCTAGTAGAGACAATGATTTTGAATTTAGGAATATTTGTGGAGCGTTGAATTCTAGATCTCCAGTTTAGGATTTAAAAAAAATCTAACTTATTGAATAACTGCTATGAGGGGGATAAGCACTATCACTCAAGGCAGCCCATACCATTTTTATTTACATTGCTTGAAACTTTTTTCTTACATTGAGCTGAATCCTGTTTTCTAGTAACATCTATTTGTTGGTTTGAATAATAAGTAATTTTTAGGGAGCTCCCTTTCTTCTGATAGCTCTTCAGATATTTGAAGGACAGCCGTTGTTCAGATATGGTATATTATGTATAGGGTCCAGGTATAGTGTATAGTGTCTCCAAATGATTATTTTTCCTCTCTCTGGGCTAAAAATTCCTTCATCTATTTTTCATGTGGTATGGGTTTGACTCCCTCTTCAAACCTACTCACATCTAATTGTGCTTCAGCTTGTCAATGTCCTTCTTAAAACATGACATCTAAATGTAATTCTGATAGTGTAATCTTATAATCTTACATCTCACTTATTCTAGACCAGGGCTCAGCATACTGTTATCCTGTAGGCCAAATCCAGCTTGCCTCCTGTTCTTGTAAATAAAGTTTTATTGGAACACAGCCATGCTCATTCATTTATGTTTTATTTATGGCTGCATTCCTATTACAATGGTAGTGTTAAGTAGTTAACAACGGAGACTGTATGACTCGCAAAGTCTAAAATATTTACTATCTGGCCCCTTATAGAAACAGATTGCCCACCCCTGTTTTAGACAATGCTTCTTAATTAATATTGTCTTAGATCTGCATTTTGGTCAGCTATATCATACTTTTAATTCATATTGAGCTCAGTCCAATAAATCCACAAAATATTTGGCATGTGGAGCTATTAATAAATAATAAAGAGGGAATTTGAGGGTTTCTTGCTGCTTTTTCTGGTATTTGGTTTTTTGGAGGAGGTTGGATTTCATTTTGTCTTTGAAAGGAGGTGTATATGGTAATCTGCTCTGAAGATGATAGTCCAGGTGTAGTGTATAGTTTAGAGCAGTGACTTCCAAAGTGTGTTTTTTGAAATACTAGTTCCTTGAGAAGATCTTCAATAAAAGAGTGTTAAATAAGTTTGGAAAATGTTCTGTATGATATCCCTTTCTTGGACATTTACAGTGCATGTCATATCATGTCTGTGCATGCACACATAATGGGAAATGTTGGGTTAGGGGAGTGCATTAAAAGTTTAATGCAGAGTGGCAGTTATTGGTGGAAGGCTAGAAAGCCTCTATGAAAAAACATTCTTGAAGTTAATATTGTTCATGTTTTGATAATGTCTGAGATGATAAGGAAATTACTATTCTATATATTTACTTTTTTTCTTTTTTCATCAATTGGGATGTCAAAAGTGGATGCCAAAAAAAGATGGATGCCAGTTTCTTTAAAATGAACTACATCATTTAGAGCTTAGTCACATATTTTTAACTATCTCTATCTGAGAGATAGAGAGATTATGATATAAAAACGGGAATATGGAAGGGTTAGGAGCTGTTAAGAATTATGATTAAAAAAGAATTAAGTTTAAACATTTTTTAAAATTAAGATAATAAACAAATAGGGAAACTTTGACTTGAGTTAAAAAGTTTGATTTATACCTGACTTTTCTAACACTTTTGGTGAAATGAGGACTATATATAATAAAATTAGTTTTTTCTAGACTTTGTAGAGATGGTAAGACTCTTTGTAGGTTTTTCTATTTTATTTTTCTCTCTTTTCTTTCCAAAGGTAAAGTGTAATCTTTAGTCATTTTAATATCTTAGTTTGGGATATTCTAAACTCAACATATCTATTAGTAAATTTTTCTTTTCATTATTCAGAATGTCATATAAACGTCCAGTAGAAAAGCTGATATAATTTAAACATGAGAGAATGCCACTGGACCAACATGTGGTGGAATACTGAAAGTAAACTATCTATCCCCAGTCTTTCCATATAAAAGTTTGATCTTCTTAAACTATTGTCTAAATGTTTGTTTTTTTATGAGTTTAAATTGTCTTCTCTCCACAGAATCAAGTGACGGATACTAATAGAAAACTACAACATGAGGGAAAAGAAGTAAGGCCAGTTTACCTTTTGAAAAACATCTTTTCTGTTTCATGCCATTCTCTTTTGATGACTGTGTTATTCATTCAGTGGTTTGTAAGAACGCTAAGTAGTATGTGGGAAGTATGTGGACATTATTGTTGCTTCTTCTAATGTTCACCTGAATTAAATGAATATAGCCTCTAGAAAGCCTAATGAGAGAAGATACAGCCTTCCTTAGCTGTGTTTTTAAACCGTTGAGTAGTCATTTTATGGCAAGTGCTGAACCCTCTGCCTGGAATGTTCTTTCCCAAATATTTGCCTACTTCAAATCTTTGCTCAAATGTTACTTTGTTAATGAGGCCCTTCTTAACCACATTATTTGAAGTTTCAGACTCACCCTGAATTCTTTTTACCCTTTCCCACTTTTTTTTTCTCCCTTGCTCATATCATGCTCTGATTTTATATTTTGTTACTTATATATATATATATATTTTGTCTGTTTCCCTTCATTGGAAATTAAGCTCCATGGGGTGAGGAATTTTTGTTTGTTTTATTTATTGATATATCCCTTCCACCTACCTAAATAGTGACTGGCTCAAAGTTGGTGCTCAATAAATATTTGTTAAAAAAAAAAAGAATCATTGATTCTATTAATTAATATACGCACTATTTAAACTTTCATAGTTTACAATATTATTTTATGTCCATTTACTCACTGCCATCCTCTTGGTAGACAAAGTGAGGACAGATATTATCACTATTTTATTGAGGAGGAAACTAAAACAAATGATTTGCTAAAGTTTATACAGTAATTGGCAAGGCTAGGATTAAAACCCAGATTTTCTGACTCATAGCCCATTACTGTTCTCTGTATCATGCACCTTCTTTACCACCTAATACTTAATTTAATGCTTAATTTTAATAACCTTTAAGATTAGCTTTTGATTGTCAGTGGCTTAATCAGGGCCATTTTCTTTTGCTATTTTTTGCATGATATCTAAACAGATAACATTTTTAGGTATGGATATGGGATGAATGCTACAAGTAGATATTTAGATTATTGCTTACTGTAAAAGTTTGTCTCACATGTTCTATATTCTGTGGGGTGCAGTTTCTTCTAGTTGTAGGATGACTTCAGATAAAAGTTTTTAAAATAGGAACTATGGGAATAAAAGTAAGTTACTCTTCACTAAACTGTAATTCTTAGAAAAGTCACATGTTCTAGGTGTGTGGTTTATTTGTTGGAGTACAGATTTAGTTGAAGATCATTTTCAAGACTCATTTGAAGCAGTATGGGAAGAACTATTTTCCTCTAGGAGTCTAATGCTGATGAAAGAAATATAGGATCTTCTCAGAAGATTGCTAAAACTGTAAATCATGAAGAGTCTAAACAGGGTTTGGAGAAAATATGCAAAAATTTTTTTCCCTGTATAGCCCTTGTATTTTAGCATTTCATTTTATTGAGACTTTTGTATAGTATGGTATAGTATAATACAGTATAGTATAGTATAGTACAGTATAGTATAGTATTGTATTGTATCTTGGGAAGAAAGTGGGAAACTGTTTGGGAATGTTTTACTGTTTGGGAAAGGCAGTTCTTTAGTTCACTTGGCAGGTCTTACTATGAAACTGTCTGGAATTTTCTGATGAATTGAACACAGTGTGGAAAAATGTGACTGAAAGCTTTTTATTTACAGCTATTGGCATAATTCAGTCTTTTTCCCTCTTGCCAAGCTGGTAATAGCAATGGAAGAGCTGAAGCAGTGTCGACTACAACAGAGAAATATTTCTGCCACTGTCGATAAATTAATGCTGTGTCTTCCAGGTGAGGAACTAGTAATGGAGTAGAATTCTTGCTGTAATTTTTTTTTTTATCTTTGATTATCATTCTCTTTCTCTAAATAATGTTTGTGTGCTCTTTTCTCTCTTTTAAGTCCTGGAGATGTACAGCAAACTGAGGGACCAGATGAAAACTAAGAGGTGAGATTTTTTATTGAAGAGTTTTTATTATCTGAAGTTTTCTGTTATTTAGAATACTTTTAAGGCCCATATTTAGCTTAACTTTTCAAAAAATAATTAAAGTCCATAACATCTTCTCTAGCCTTTTGTATATCTATTGATTCATTCTAGATAGTGGTATACTGATGTGTTTTGTCTTGATTTTGTTTAATAAATAAGACTTACTGTTTGATTTTTAGAATACCCAGTCTTTTAGGGAAAAGCATATAACTCTTTTAGTGATAGTTGGTTTGAGAAACATGTTTTTATTTATTTAGTATTGTAGAAAAAAATAGCAATGGTTCTGGTGCAGGAGTGTATTAGCCAGGGTTCTCCAGAAAAACAGAACCAGTAGTGTGTGTGTGTGTGTGTGTGTGTGTGTGTGTGTGTGTGTGTGTGTATCTATCTATGTCTGTCTGTATATCTATTTATTTAGGGAGAGAAGTATTTATTTTAAGGAATTGGCTCACACAATTGTAGAAGCTACCAAGTCCAAAATCTGCAAACTAGGTCCATATGATAGAATCCCAGGGAAGAGTTAATGTTATAGCTTGAGTCCAAAGGCAGTTTGCTGGCAGAATTCCCTCTTTCTTAGGCAAAGTTAGCCTTTTCTTATTTTGTTTGTCTCCTCTCCTCTCCTCTCCTCTCCTCTCCTCTCCTCTCCTCTCCTCCCTCCTCCCTCTCCTCTGTTCTTCTCTTTTTTTTGAGTCAGGGTCTTGCTCTCTTGCTCGGGCTAGAGTATAGTGGAGTCATCATAGCTCACTGTAGCAGCTTCCAACTCCTGGGCTCAAGTGATCCTCCTGCCCCAGCCTTCTGAGTAGCTGGGACTACAGACACATGTCACCACATCCCACTAATTTTTTCAATTTTTTTTGTAGAGGTGGAGTCTCGCTATGTTGTCCAGGTTGGTCTTGAGCTCCTGGCCTCAAGCGATCCTCCTGCCTCAGCCTCCCAAAGTACTAGGATTACAGGTGTTAGCCACCACACCTAGCCAAATTTGCTTTTTCTCTATTAAGGTCTTCGATTGTGATTGGATGAGGCCCACACACATTATAGAAGGTAACCTTCTTTACCTTCAGTCAGTCTACTGATTTAAATATTAATCTTATTTAAAAAAATACTTTCAAAGAAACACCTAGAATAATGTCTGGCCAAATATCTGGGTACTGTGGCCTAGCCAAGTTGACACATAAAATTAATTATTACAAAGGGCAAGGGCAAGGTTAAATTCAGAAGATTCCTCTTCTGTGTATTGTTGTCTCCTAGTTTTATTCCAGAGGAAGCTCTACGGTGACTCTTTTGTTCTTCTTCCTAAACTAGAGTAAGCATCCCCACCCTCTCAGCCTTGGAGTATCCTGCAGTATGATGAGGATATGTGAAGCTGTAGGAGAAACAGGGCATAATTTCTTGGAATGTTAATTTTACCTAGATTTTGAAGGAAAAGTGTACAATTAAAGTGTACTTAATATTGAAATAAGAATAGAAATATTATGGATAAAGATTCTAAATTCTCAAGGATTTTGAAGCTAAAGCATTAGGCATGAACATTTTTCAAGTTTCTTGGGATTGTTTTCTAGACTCCCTTCTCTCCAGGAGGACATGCTCTCATAAGAAAACATGGGCAGGACACTATCAGAAGTTGTGGTCAATGAGATATGAAAGTAGTATTATTTCCCTAATAACCTTATAGTAAAGCTCTAAAATTACAGAGGATAAAAAAAAACCTATATACCAACTTCTCTGAATTAACAGCTGTCAACAATTTTCCAGTTTTGATTCGTATTTATATATGTGAGTACATATGGCATATATATAAAAGTATATATGGACAGAGATATGCAGTATATATTTTTTAAAACTACAGATAAAATTTTTCCCCTTTCTTGGTCATATTCCTTTTCCTACTCCCCTGAGGAAATCAATATTAGAAATTTGGTGATGGGTGGGTATGGGGGCTCACCTCGTATAGTCCTAGCACTTTGGGGAGGCCAAGGTGGGAAGATTGCTTGCGGCCAGGAGTTCGAGACCAGCCTGAGCAAGAGCGAGACCTCATCTCTACAAAAAATAGAAAAATTAGCGGGGTGTGGTGGTGCTCATCTGTAGTCCCAGCTATGTGGGAGGCTGAGGCAGGAGGATCCCTTGAGCCCAGGAATTTGAGGTTACAGTCAGCTGTGATGCTACTGCACTCCATCCTAGGGGACAGAACAAGAACCTGTCTCAAAAAAAAAAAAAAAAAAAAAGAAAAAAGAAAAGAAATTTGATGAATGTCCTTCTAGTCTTAATATCTGTAAATCTCATTTTTAAATTTTGTGTTTAAAAAACATTTATTTAGATGATTCTCAGTCCTTGTTTTAAGATGCATCTGCTCACTCAACAAAGATGAATTGAGTACCTACTATGGGCTAGGCATTGCTCTTGATGCTAGAGAAATAGCTGTGAACAAAAATGTCTTTCCTTATGGGGCTTACATACTAGAAGACAGCTTATTTTCTTTGTTTATAGATCCAGTTTGCTCATTTCAATCTCTATGGTAGTCCATTATATGAGTAATCCACATTTCCCCTTCCAATTCCAGTTGTCTTAAGTGCCGTTCACCAATATTTCTAGCTCACCCTTCTTTTGGCACAAGACAGGGTTATATTTCCTGGACTCCCTGTGTGTGGGTTGAGCCATGTGACTGTTTCTGGCTGATGAAATGTGAGCAGAAGTGGTATTTGTCACTTTGGGGACTAGCATTTAATTTCCCGTGCAGCTCCCCGCAGAGTTCTCTTATTTTCTCTTGGTCATGACAAATGGCAACTTTTAAGGTGGTGATTGAGTCTCTGAGTGGCTTCTATAGGCAGAGCTTCCCTGCCATCCTATTATGAATGTATAGCATGAGTAAATTTTAAATCTTTGTTTTAAGCCACTGAGATTTGGAGTGTTGTTACTATAGGGTAACAACATATGGGTATCCTGACCCATACTATAAGGGACATTTGATAAGTTTCCAATTGTTTGTTATGGCACACAATTGTGCAATATATATCCTTGTACTCACATTCAAAGTTTCTTGAGAGCGATGTTCTTCAGATGTTGCTATGTATATGAATCATATGGGGACTTGTTAAATGTGGATGCTGATTGAGTGGGTCTGGGGTAATTCCTGAGATTCTGCATTTTGTACTAAGCTCCCAAGTGATGCTAATTCTGCCAATCTAGTTAAATGTAGATGCTGATTGAGTAGGTTTGGGGTAATTCCTGAGATTCTGCATTTTCTACTAAGCTCCCAGGTGATGCCAATTTTGCCAATCTAGTGAAATGTAGATGCTGACTGAGTAGGTCTGGGGTAGTTCCTGAGATTCTGCATTTTCTACTAAGCTCCCAGGTGATGCTAATTCTGCTAATATAGTGAAATGTAGATACTGATTAGTGGATCTGGGGTAATTCCTGAGATTCTGCATTTTCTCCTAAACTCCCAGATGATGCTAATTCTGCTAATCTGGTTAAATGTAGATTTTCATTGAGTAGGTCTGGGGTAATTCTTGAGCTTCTGCATTTTCTACTAAGCTCCCAGGTGGTGCCAATTCTGCTAATCTACATTTCATACCCAGTAGGAGGTCAGTTGGATCAAAGAAAGGGTATATATGTCTTTGATTTTACTATTGTTCTCCAAAATGATTTACCCTTTTACACTATCACTGACATTTTTGGGGAGGTCTTGTTACTCTTCCTCTTGGTAACATCTATATTGTTGAACTTTTTGGTTTTTGCCAGTCTGATGATTGTGAAATGAAGATCATTATTATGATTTTTTCCATCTTTTTTATTAGATTGCTAATGAGATTAGTTTTTGGGCATTTGGGTTTACTCTCTACTTTTCTGTTAATATTGCCTGTTGTTTTCTTTTTCATTCATAGGAATTCATTATATACTTTAGATGCCTTTTCCTGTTATATGCTGCAAATACTGTCTTCTAAGATGTGGCTTATCTGTTAACTTTGCGCAGTTAGTATTTTTTGTTGTATGGTAGTTTTAAGTTTTGACATAGATTTATTTTGTGGGTTTAAAAAATTTTATTTTTAAACATTCTTAAGTTCAGTATATGTAACTGTGTCTTTTCCCTGAAACAGTTGAAAGTAAGTTGCTAAAATGATGCACCATCATCCCCAAATTTCCTACAAATAAAGACATTCTCCTATGCAACTACAGTGCAATAGAGAACGGAAATTAACATTGATATATTACTAGCATCTAATCCTCATACCAAATTCCAGTTTTGCCAATTGTTTCAATTATGTCCTTTATAGCAAAAGAATCCATTTCAAATCATGTGTTGCATTTAGCTGTTATGTCTCTTTAGTCTTCTTTAGTCTGGAACTGTTCTCAGTCTTTCCTTGACTTTTATGAACTTGTCACTTTTAAAGATTACAGGCCAGTTGTTTTGTAAAATGAGCTTGCTTTTTAAAAAAGCTTTTGTCTGACAATCTCTGTCTTTAAATTAGTCTGTTGAGATCTTTTACATTTAATGCAATTATCAATATATGGGTTTAAATCTACTGTCTTCTAATTTATTTTTCATTTGTTTTATCTGTTCTTTATTCCTTCTCTCTATTCCTGCCTTCTTTTTAATCAGTTGACTATATTTTAGGATTGCATTTTATATTCACTAATGCCTTATTATCTATACCTCTTTGTTTTACAAAGTTGTCCCTTGGTATCCTCAGGGTATTTGTTACAGTTCCGACCTCCGTGGAGACCAAAATCTGTAGATGCTCAAGTCCCTCATAGAAAATACTGTGGTTTGCGTATAACCTATGCATGTCATCTCTTATATACTTTAAATTATCTCTAGATTCTTGTAATATGTAATACAATATAAATGCTATGCAAATACAGCTATACTGCATTTTTTAATTTGTATTATTTTTAATTGTTCTATCGTTATTTTTTATTGTATTTTTCTGAATATTTTGATCCACATGTTGGTTGAATACATGGAT